AAAAAACAAAAAAACCAGAAGAAAAGGCTGGGCACAGTGGTTCACACCTGTAATCCTAGCACTCTGGGAGGCTGAGGCAGATGGATTCCTTGAGCTGAGAAGTTTGAGACCAGACTGAGTAGGAACGTGATCCCATCTTTACTAAAAATAGAAAAATTAGCTGGGTATTGTGGAGGGCACCTGTAGTCCTAGCTACTAGGAAGGCTGAGGCAAGAGGATCTCTTGATCCCAAGAGTTGAAGGCTGCTGTGAGCTATGATGCCAAGGCAGTCTACCTAGGGTGACAGAGTGAGACTCTATCTCAAAAAAACAAAACAAAAAACCTAAAACAAACAAAAATACTTGAGAAAATAGATACAAGAGAACATTTGGTGGGAAGTGCTGCCTCTTGGCCATATTGTTGCAGGAAGTAAGAACAGGTATGGCTATGATAGCTTCCCTAATGGGAGGTAAAAACTCAATTGAACTTGTTCTCTGTCCTTAGGACATGGTCTGGGACATCAGATATAAGACTGTCCGATGGCGCTTTGTGGAATCTTTAGAGCAACCTCAAGTGGTCCAGATTCGCTGTTCAAGTCTGGTGAATCAGAGCAACTTGTACGGCCAGGTCACCGTCCGTATGCACACCCGCCAGGTAGAGGCACCAGTCTGCTTCCTTCTAGGCTTTTCTCACTCTCAGGCTGGGCACTTACTTCTGGAGTACAGGGTATAGCTGCTCAGGACTATAGGGTCTAAGGAAAGGTTCACCATGGTCTTCTATACTGTCACTGCCTCCTTCCCCCTGCTGAGTGTTAGCTCTGCTATGACCTGATCTATCTTCTCCCACTTTCCTGGTCTTGACACCCTCCCCATTCCCTGCTCTGGTCAAAGAACTTTGAAGAGTAAAATGGCAGCAGTTGTTCAATTAGTCCTAGTTTCAGATTTTTTTTTTTTCATTTCAGATTACTAAGAGGGTACAAACTATTAGGTTACATTGTTGGCGTTTGTTGGGTAAAGTCCCTGTTGTAGTTGTGCCACTCACCCAGGAGGTGTGTCATGTACCCTTACATTGTGCCTCTTTGGTGGGAGCAAACTTCCCACTTCCTCCTCTCTTTTCTCTCCGTCACTTCTTCCCACTCCCCCCAACTTGAATTTAATTGAGTTTTTCTCTTGTATGGGTGTGTGTTTGTTCACCTACTGGGTTCATGTTGGTGGTATTGAGTATGCTGGATACTTGCTTTTTCATTCTTGTGATACTTTTCTAAGGAGAACATTCTCCAACTCCATCCAGGTTAATGACAAAAGATGTAAAGCCTCCATCTTTTTTTTTTCTATTTTAAACAAGAAGTTTATTTGAACAACAAAACTCTGTTTATTTGAACAACAAGACTCTTGACTTGAAGGGAAAACTATCTAGGATTCTTTTTTTTTTTTTTTCTTTTTGCAGTTTTTGGCCAGGACTGGGTTTGAACCCGCCACTTCTGGCATATGGGGCCGGCGCCCTACTCCTTTGAGCCATAGGCGCTGCCTGGGTTCATTTTTTTTTAGAGTACTTTATCCCTACTTAAAGACAGATTGTTGTACTTGTAACAGCTGTGTACAAAATGTTACAAAATTGTCCTTGGTTTTACAATGATAAATGAAAACATTAAAAGTTCTCCAATTGAGTAAGGTATGTGAGGTTTTTCATGTTGTTATTTTGTTAAAACAGAACAGGCAGCGCCTGTAGCTCAATGGGTAGAATGGCCAGCCACATACACCAAGGCTGGTGGACCACCTAAAGCAACAATGACAACTGCAACAGAAAAATAGCCAGGTGTTGTGGTGGGTGCCTGTAGTCCCAGCTACTTGGGAGCCTGAGGCAAGAGAATTGCTTAAGTCCAAGAGTTTGAGATTGCTATGAGCTGTGATGTCACGGTCCTGTACCTAGGGTGACAGCTTGAGACTCTGTCTCAAAAAAAAAAAAAAAAAAAAAA